CATAAAGCGACGGTTGAGTCGGAAAAGGCAAATATCCTTTCTAAGTGAACTCTGACATTTGGACATGCGCTGATAACTGCGGTAATAGGTTTGGTGAGGACTAATTTTGCGCAAAGCTCTAAGCGCGCCAGAGAGACAACCTTACGGGGGGAGACTCTTGACTTAGAGCTAATGAGGCTAATCGAATTTCTACCATTATTTTGGACATGGAAATATATAACGCCCCCGTAAGCCTTCTCGCTGGCGTCTGCAAACCCAACGACCGTGATGACGCTATTTCTATCGACGTTTATATGGCGTGGTATTTTAATTTCTCTTAGTAAAGGAAGTTCCTCTCTAAAACGCTGCCACAACCGAACAATGATGTCAGGCGGCGAGTCATCCCAATCGCATTCACATAACCAAAGTTGTTTAATCAAAAGTTTAGCGTATAGTACCAACGGAGCTACGAAACCTATTACATCCCATAATCTAGCAACGCATGACAGTATTGTACGCTTTGTGCACGTTTCTGCGGGCGGGTTTACCTTAAAGCTAAACACGTCGAATTCTGGTGATCAACACAGACCGAGCACCTTGTGCGTATCAGAATCGTCGAATTCCTTTATCGCCGAAAGACGGTGTGATCGTGAGATTGTGTCTAAAACCGGACGCGAATTACTAGTCCACTTGACAAGATCGAATTGACCCGATTTCATGAGCTTTATAACCTCGGCGGTGGGTAGGTTGGCCTCCTCCACGCTATCGACCGAGTACACAAAATCATCCATATATAATCTAATTTCAATTGCCCTCTTAGCCTTAGGATAAGAGGGACCTTCATCGTAGGCGAGCTGTCTCACCGCACGTAACGCATGAAATGGGCTCGACTTTAAACCACAGCAAATGTGGCTAAATTCAAACACCATTAGAGGTTCTTTTGGGTTGAAACGATATAAAATGCGTTGGAATCGACGGTCGCATTCACGAACCCCTATGCAAAGAAATATTTGGCGAATATCAGCGGATAGTGCTATACTAAACAAACGAAAATTTGCTATTATATTAAATAAACTGCCCTGTAAATTTTGCCTACTATAGTATATATCGTCATTATATATATCGTTAAGAGAAAGGTGAGTGCTAGTTTTAGCACTAGCGTCGAGCACTACACATAACTTAGACGTAAGTTTGTCTTCCCCAATGACCCCGTGATGTGGTATGAAATACGACGGTTTATCTTCGTAGTTATCTAATTTCGGAGCCACAAGTGATATGTAACCTTACCTTATATATTCGTTAATGACGCAGTCATAAGCTTCTTTTAATTGCGGTGAAGCAAGCATCCTACGCTCCAAACTGTAGAAACGTTTTGCCGCCATTTGACGCGAATCGCCGAGAGATAAAACATCTCCTTTAAAGAGCAGCGCTACACTATATCGACCGTCGGGATCACGAACGGTCGTGCGGACGTAAATTTCCTCGCATAATCTATCATCTGGGCTAACTATAGGTGGAACGTTCACCTCCTCCATCTTCCAAAATTTGCGGACTAACGACTCGAGTGGTTCGACAGCCATACAACAATAAGAGGTTGCCGAAATACTATCCATGATGGGGGCGGAACCAACGATGACATAGCCCAAGACGGTTTCCAATGCGTAAGGCTCGGTATGCGAGGAGTTGCCCCTGACCTTATTGTGTAACAAAAGAAGAGGGAAAAGCGATGCTCCAATGAGCATGTCTATGTTTCCGGGAACGGCGTAAGTGTCGTCTGCCAGAGTAAAATTTTTAAATTCAATCATTGCCGAGGTGTCAAGCAAAACGGTTGGCAGACGTTCAGTGACTTTATCTACTACTAACGCATTTATATCAAAGTTAACATTACGATCTATCCGAGAATAAAATTTCAAATGTATATATCCCTGGGTAACTTTGTTAGTACCTCCGATGCCTTTGACTACGGGAAATGAAGGTGTCCTATTTATTGGCAATCCTAAGCGCTGACAACATTGTCGCGTTATAAAGCTATTTTGGGATCCGCTGTCTAGCAATGTACGGACGCTTTGTTCCTTTCCACGCGAATCCCTAACTATGATATGGGCTGTACCCAGTAACACGGTTGAAGGAGGCTGTGTTCCCATATTCGACAATGAGCACAGAGCGACATCACCAGGTCGACCGCTAGAATCGTCGACTTTAGTAGGTGTGATTTCCTTGTCTGATTTACTTGACGCAAATATGTTGCTGTTTTCGAAATGTAATAACGTGTGATGTTTTCTGGCGCACTTGTTACACACGGAACTAGAATTGCATTTAGCAACTAAATGTCTATCGCTTAGACAATTCAAACATAATTTGTTTGTCCTTACTATTCTATAACGTTCGCTGGGTGAATGTTTACGAAAAGTCGGCACAATTGTATAAATTGCCGTGTTGTTTATCTTTACATAGCATACGGGCGCAGCGGTTACGTATGTTAACGGCCCTGCGGTTTTAGATGATGGAGTCTGTCTACGGTCGACACATTTCTTAACTTCTTGTTTAACGTTCGATGAGCGCTGCATCACTTTGATTTGGCCTCGCACAAAGGATGCTAATGAATCAAATGAGGGCATCTCAGAGCTATGATGCTCCATTTCAAACGCACGCACTGTGTCGGGGTCTAGTTTCTTTAGTGCAACATGGAAAAACACCACGTCCATAAGGTCAGTAAAATTTAAGTTCTTAAGTGCAGCCACCGATGCCATAAATTTATCTAAAAATTGCTCTAAGCCAGTGATTTTCGCGGATGATATAGGTTTAATATCAAATATTTAGTCTAAATATGAAGAGGCTAACATTCGCTTATCTTCATATTTGTCCTTAAGTGTTTCGAATATTAACAAATAATTATTTGCTGTTGTTGCGAAACCCGAGCAAATTGACTGTGCCCTGCCACTCAGTTTACTAATTAAATAATATAATTTTTCAGCGTCCGATAACGATGGATTATTATGTATATTGTTTTGAAAACTACTAAAGAAGAAGGGCCATGTCTTAATATCGCCATTGAATACCGGAATGTCTATTGGGGGCAACCTAATAGAATCACGTGGGCGTACCTGGGCTTCCGGCTTTGCTTCGCTTTGAGATGGGGACTGCAAGAGCTTCGCCGTTATTTTCACGCGATACAATATATCTTCAAATGCTAGAAGCGGCTGATAGTTCACTGTATACTTAGGGTCGAGTTGTAATTCCAAATTATTAATTTGGTAATATCTTGTCGTAATTCGTCCGCAAAGAGTCCACCGCCTCGATTTCACATAAAAACGTTTCCCGCACTTCTTCCATGTTAATATTCTTTATGTGATCACTAATACATTGTATACGTGAGAAGAGTATGTCCCTCTTGGCGTAAAGAGTTTTAAGTTTAATTTCATTTCCACTAACTGCCATTTTAAATTGCTAGAATTAATATTAGATTAATCACAATTAATCGCACAACGCTGGACACCACTATTGTCTTATCGTGCCGTATTACGTCGTTAAATTTAACACCTTTACAACGAGCCGAGGTGACGCATGTCGGTCGCTAAACTCACACTATTTTTACAAAATGTCGGGTACGCTGAATGACCGTGCGGAACTAAACTATTTTGAATGAATAATTCTGTTTGCGAATAACTAACCAAAGTTTAAATTTAAACCAAAGGTATGTGGAGCGGGCCTAGTATCGGATCAGGTCGACACTATCACATCTGGCGTGGCCTGTGGTCAGATACCGTAAACCACATCGAGGGCCCTTGGATGGAAGTTGTGGCAAGCCAGGGTGCGAGTGTTACGCCTATAGACCCCGTCACCTTAACGGACGGGCTGCATCACCACTGGTTTAAGAGGTTTTTAGTGCGTCACGCTGTGCTCACCCGACAGTTTCAAGAGGATCTCTTGAAACATTTAAGTAACACATAAAGATTCACTACTAGGGTCGCTCATTTGGTTTCCAAGGACCAGGGTACCACAGACCAGAGCAAATACCGTCTCATCACGTGTCTACCGACCATATACAAGACACTAACATCCATTTTGAACGCGAGAATCACTCGTCACCTGGAGCTAATTCAGTTAAAGTTACGCGTTTAAAATGGATGTATAGGCGTTTTCATGCAACCAAGGAACCATTCCCCACTGACAAAGTGGTTAATCGCAGCCATCGGAACTTCTTCGCCGCCTAGATAGACTACAGAAAGAAATTTCACTCGGTGCCCCATACATGGCTAAAGAGGGTCCTCAAGCTGTACGAGTTTGGCTGTACAGTTAGAGACTTCCTAGAGCAGTGCATGGGGTCGTGGATCCTGATCCTTTGTCATCTGTATGAGCAGATGACAGTTGCGGAGAACCACATAAGAATAAGAAGGGGTATCTTCCAGGATGATTGTACCTGAGTCCAATATGGTTCTGCCTCTCTCTGAACCCTCTGTACCTTAGTGGGGGACTTCGGGAGGGAATTTCAGCTTCGGAAAGGAGGTACTCGCTTCCAATTGCTCCCATCCTATGGAAATGCTAAACATCATTTGTGATTTTAAATATCTGGACAAACAAAATAACTGGACCTGGCTCAAGAGGTGACCAATATATGGGGTGATCTGCTGCCCGAAATTATTCCTGTAGTCTTCTCTGCAAACGGGCTGATCCCAGTCAGCCTCTCGGGTCATCTGAGGCAACTGGAGCTCCGGGACGGAACGGTCTTAAATGCAGAAGGTGGTGCCCCTCGATACCGCCCGTATCGATTACCCCTCGGCCGTTTGGCCTCCCCTGTCGAGGGCTCCCATCTGGTTGTGCTTTTGTTTATTTATTTATTTATTATTTATTAATTATAACACAGAGCCAGAGCCAGAGCAAGCGGAATCGGGCTGTCGTTAGGGGTTCTGAACCCATTGCTGGTGACCTATTTCGAAGCCAGCCGGGACCTTTGTAAGATGGACTCAATTCTTTTTGACGTCGTACTGGCAATCTGCCGTATTATAGGCACCAAAATTTCCATGGCTGGACGCGCTACTGGACAAAGTAGCGCTATCCCAGCCTGGAGAGTAAGAATTGAAGAACGTATCGCAAAGGATAGGGCCCTCATCGGCAGACTGATATGCTTCAGGTCATGCAATACCAGGTCAAGGATTGTGCGCACCGTCAGGATGGCGTTTGCTGGGATAAATTTTAGTTTATCCCAGCCGGATATAATGCAAAAACTGACGGAGTGCATAGACGACCTGAAGCAGAGAATCGCTGCTTGGGGACAGCGGATTCGGCGATATACTGAGAGGTCGACACATCACAACCAGAATCGTCTTTTTCAGAGTGAAGAATTCTGGCACGGCTTGACAGGCTGCATCACCACTGGTTTAAGGGGTTCGTGGTGCGTCACGCTGTGCTCGCTCGACAGTTTCAAGGGATCTCTTGAAACAGAAGTACGCTCCCAAGCCCTTCACTACTGGGGTCACTCATTTGGTTCCTAAGGACCAGGGTACCACAGAACCGAGCAAATACCGCCCCATCACGTGTCTACCGACCATATACAAGACACTAACATCCATTTTGAGCGCGAGAATCACTCTTCACCTGGACTCAAATCAGGTGATGTCCCGCGCTCAAAATGGATGTCGGGGTTGTGTTCGTGGCACCAAGGAGCCACTCCTCATTGACGCGGTTATTGGCAAAGTGGTGAAACGCAACTGTCGGAACTTCTCCGCTGCCTGGATAGACTACAAAAAGGCATTTGACTGGGTGCCCAATACATGGCTAAAGAGGGTCCTCGAGCTGTACAACATTGACTGTACAGTTAGAGACTTTCTGGAGTAGTGTATGGGGCAGTGGAGTTCGATTCTTTGTTATCTGAATGAGCGGATGACGGCTCCGAAAAGCTGCATAAAGATGAAAAGGGGTATATTTCAGGGCGACTGTCTGAGTCCAATCCGGTTCTGCCTCTCTTTGAACACTCTCAGTACTTTACTGGAGGGCTCCAGGAGATTTCCGCTTCGGAAAGGAGGTACAAAAGTGACCCACCTTTTTATATGGATGACCTCAAGTTGTTCGCCTCCAGTCACTCCAATCGTGTGGAATTGCTAAACATAACTTGTGAATTAAGATTTGGAGCACCACCTCAGAAGGTAATACAATATGTTAACAGAGATTGGGCCAAGGCAAAGTAGACGGATTTCTTTAGTTTCTCATCCGCCGCGTCTCTCAGAGATTTAAATACATATATTAGTTTACGCAAGCTGCTATTAAGGGTATTAAAGTGTTCATGAAAACGTAGAGTGCTATCGATTACAACTCCTTTACTCTGTCAGCTTGACATAGTTGTATGCAGGTTTCTGCATTATTAAGTGGATTGGAACACGAGTGACTAACAACGGTATGTGGTAAAGGTGATGTGGTTAATGTGTTATTTTTTTAACCTAAACGGGACATAACATATTTTATATATGTCCCGTGTAAGTACGTTATTTCGAAGCTAATTTGAGACAAGTGTTGTAGCCTAACGGGGCGTACGCATAGATTTCTTGCTATGTACTTGCACTAAAAAGGAGGACGGTGACATCTGCAATACTTATGATCCGCCCTTTAGGGAGAATGAGCATACCCAGTTCGTTAATATATATATGAGAAATAAGGTTGGAGAGAGTACGCTGCCCTGAGGCATTCCATAGGTAATTGTGCATTTAGCAGTGATGAATTTATCCACCTGAACGCACTGAGTACGTCTACTCAAGTAGCCTTCTAAAAGTCACAGTTGAATTCCTCTAATTCCCATACTCTCCATCCTACCTAAAAATATGGGTATAGAAACCGTGTCGAAAGCTTTAGCAAGATCTAGAAAAATGCCAAGAACTTTCTGCCCGTTGTCCAAGTTTGTAACAATATAATTTGTAAGGTCATGAATTTGAATGATTTACCTGACCAAAAACCATATCGTGAGGGCGAAAGTAAGTTATTTATTTCCAAATAATTTACGAGCCTGTTGTTCATTATGCGTTCAAGTATTTTGGACAAGGCAGATAGCACGGCTATAGGTCTATAGTTATCGGCATGGTCTTTGTCCACACCCTTATAAATCGGTTGTATAATCGATTTTTAAAAGCTTTTGGGAAATTTTCAGGTTGTGAGAGCAAGATTGCAAATATATTTGAGGGGTGGGACAATTCATTAATATGCATTTTGAGGAAATCAGAGGATATTCCATCCCACTGTTAGTACAGTACCCGGTTGACCGAGATTTGCTCGGTATTTTTCGCTCGGTTTTTTTTTTTAATTCGTGTGTTTTGGAAATTATATTTAGATACAAACTACACACTGATGAAATACGAATAATATTTTTTGATCTTAGCGATATAATAGAAAAAACTGAACTGGTTATTTGAATAAAAAATCATGAGTGCAATTAGTTTAATTTAAATTTTCGTGTTTTTAAAAAATACTAAAAAAAGGCTCGAAAAAATAGATTTTCTCAAAAAAGAAAGGAACTTGAAAAAAAACTTAAAAAAAAAGTCGGTCGGTCGGTCTGGGTTCGAACCATGGTATTAAGATTTTGTGACCGCCCAATATATCAATTCATCTATTTGTAATCGTTAACAAACTGACAAAATTTACGTTCTTATTCTAACGATATGGTAGCAGTTTTTCATTGCCTAAAAACACGGACAAAAAGACATTTTCTAAAAATAAATCCCAGCTAGATCGATTTATTGCCTCCGAAACTCCCTGCACACAAAATTTTACGAAAATCGTTGGAGCCGTTTCCGAGATTCCGATTATATATATATATATATATATATATATATATATATATATATATATATATATATATATATATATATATATAAGAATTGCTCGTTTAAAGGTATAGGATTAAAGATATATGTATATTTAACATTTTCTTTTATATATTAATTCAGCCCCAACCAGATGAGAATACTCTATTAATACTCCTTAATAATAATAATATTCAAAGTGTCTGTTTGTGTAATATTGAAATAACTGGCCTGTATTAAGCTCAGGGGGTTATTTCCATCCTTTTAAGACATAAATAATGACCTTTTCAGCAGATCCTGTTTGTCTCTTCGGGCTAATATTCGGAATGGAAGAACCGATTGTAATGAAACATAACAAACAGATATAGAGCAAAGCCAGGAGGGACCTAGCCTATATTTTATCTGAAAAACTTTTATTTTTTATACAAAATATTAAGGTTTTTTAGTAACATACGTTCCATAATCAAAATTCACTTGATCTGATTTAATTTGAAAATTGTTTATTGCAGGAGGTTTCCCCGAATGCACCGAACATGGCAACTTTAGTGAAACTATATTTGATAGGTCTATATTTGATTGATCACTTATTAACTTTTGCTTTATATAGAATATTGTTACAATTTTAATTACATTCATGTATGTGGCAAACATAATTATTTATAATAACACAAATCTAAACTGATTGACCGTGTAGTTACATATGAGATTATCCACTACCCCATATCACCTTGTGGGTCTCGTTAGAGATGACAGAGGGAAACAAATCAGGAGATGGACAGCAGCATTTTCCAAATAACGACTAAAAAAACTGCGGTTGCCAACCCGCTTGCCAAGCGTCAAATATCCCACGTATGAGGCAATTTATGGGGGTGACCTGTGTTCAGCAGTGGACTTCGATAGGCTCTGACAGTAAATCTTTACACATTCACTTGTCATTTCGGTGGAAATCACAGAACACTAACTCTAGCGAGAGGCGGAAATACAGTGAGTTGGTCGGGAGACTATGACATTTGTCTGATGAAAAAAACTTTCTTCTCTTGTTTATGTCGTTTGCCGACTACATAGAAAAGGAAAAATACAAAAGTCAGTTTCTGAAACGTATATTATATGAAATACACGAAAAGAATCTTCCGATCAGTATATCGGCGGATAATCAGGCACACTGATCATCATTATCATCATCATTACAGCCCTTCACTGCTGAACATAGGCCTCCCCCAAGTAATGCCACAAAGCACGGTCATGAGCCACCTGCATCCATCGACTTCCTGCATGTCTTACCAGGTCGTCACTCCATCTAGTGGGGGGTCGCCCTACACTACGCCTACCGACACGAGGCTGCCACTCGAGAACCTTTCTTCCCCATCGGTTATCGGTTCCTCGAGCTATATGGCCGGCCTATTGCCACTTCAGCTTACTAATCCGTTGGGATATGTCGGTCACTCTGGTTTTACTGCGAATATCCTCATTTCCGAGTCTATCACGCAGAGAAACTCCGAGCATAGCCCTCTCCATAGCTCGCTGAGCGACCTTGAGCGTCCTCAAACGGCCAGCAGTGAAGGACCACGTCTCTGATCCATAAGTCATCACTGGCAACACGCACTGGTTGTACACTTTAGTTTTAGGAGATTGAGGTATACCTGACGAGAAGATGTGTCGTAATTTCCCGAACGCTGCCCAGCCGAGTTGAATCCGTCGATTAACCTCTCGGTCGAAGTTGGACTTACCTAGTCGGACTATTTGTCCCAGGTAAACGTACTCGTCAACAACTTCGAGCATAGTGCTCCCAACAACTACCGGCATAGGTGTGACATGGACATTAAACATGATCTTTGTTTTGTCCATGTTCATCTTAAGACCTATCCGTTGGGAGACACCATTGAGGTCATTGAGCATAGTGCTAAGGTCCTGCAGCGATTCTGCCATAAGGACTATATCGTCGGCAAATCGAAGGTGAGTGATGTACACGCCATTGATTTTAATACCGTATCCTTTCCAGTCCAGTAGCTTGAAAACGTCTTCCGACGCAGCGGTGAAGAGTTTCGGGGATATAACGTCACCCTGTCTTACACCTCTCTGCAGTTGGATAGGTTTCGAACTCTGGTTCTGTACTCGGATAGCCATCGTAGCCCTACTGTACAAACACTTCAGCACTTCGATATACCGACAGTCAACTTGGCACCGCTGAAGGGACTGTAGCACCGCCCAAATTTCGACGGAATCAAAGGCTTTCTCATAGTCCACATACGCCAGGCAAAGTGGCAGATTGTACTCTATTCTAATCTCGCTCAGACTGACGTCCGGGATATCATCGGAATAGTGTCGGGTAAGACTTGCTCTTGGATCGTTATTTACACTTGCGTGTGGCTCCAACGATGATGTGTACAGCTGCCCATAGAACCTCTCAATCTCACTCAAAATCTCAGGTGTCCTGGAAACGATGCTGCCACACTCAGTCTTCAGCTTTGGCAGTTGGCTCTTTCTGGCAGACAGATCTCTGGCAAAGACTTTGGAGCCCTGGTTCCGCTCGATCGCTTCTTTAATATGAGCAGTATTAAAGTCGCGTAAGTCTCGCCGCACGCACTTGGAGATCCTGTCTGTTCAGTTGCCTGTATGCTGTCAAATCTGTTGACGATTGCAGCCTCATCTCCCGTCTAACAGCCATGAGATTAAGAGTGTGATCGGAGAGTTTTTGTGTTCTTCCG